CCATCTGCTAACTGCCCAAGCAACACATCATGAAGGGACCCCATCAAGGCTGGAGCTGCCATTAGGGATCCGTGGCCTCGTGGCCCCCCTATCAAGCCTGCCTGCCTGCCTCTCTCCTGAGCAGAACTGGGAGATGAAGAGTGGGAAAAGGACAATGGGGCAGGTAGGGATATCTAGGCTGGGGAGAGGAGCGGGGCATGGGCCTGGGGAGGGGGGCAAGGGAAGGAGGCAGACAAGGAGGTAGGCCCAGCCCAAGCCCTGGACTCCTGTAGCTCACACCTTGCCCAGCCTTGTTTGGCACTGCCTCATGCCCACGTCTCCAGGAAGACTGGAGGCTCAGAAGGAAGGAAGGATTGAATGGTTGGAAGGGAGAGATAGATAGGAGGGAAGAAAAGGAAAGGGTTTCCCCAAAACACACTGATTATTATATAGACCAGTATCATTATTATGGAGCCCCTGGACTGCAATGGGTTAAATCCTTGTGCTGGTAGGACGGAAGACCAACAGGTTGCAGGTTCAAATCTGGGGAGAGTGCAGATGAACTCCCTCTGTCAGCTCCGGCTCCCCATGTGGGGACATGATAGAAGCCTCCCACAAGGATGGTAAAACATCAAAACATTCAGGCATCCCCTGGGCAACATCCTTACAGACGGCCAATTCTTTCACACCACAACCAACTTTCAGTTTCTCAAGTCGCATCTGACACATAAATAATTGTTGTTGTTGTTGTTCATTCGTTCAGTCATTTCCGACTCTTCATGACCTCATGGACCAGCCCACGTCAGAGCTCCCTGTCGGCTGTCACCACCCCCAGCTCCTTCAAGGTCATCCAGTCACTTCAAATAATTATAATTATAATTATTATATAGATTATTATTATTATTATTATTATTATTATTATTAGTATTATATATATATTATATAGCGTATTATTTACATTATTATTATTATTATTATATAGATTATAGGACAGTATTATTTACATTATTATTATTATTATTATTATTATTATTATTATTATTATTATTTCACAGACAAAGAACAACAAAAATATTGTATATCCGCAAGCATTATTTATTTATTATTTATTTATTATTTACTTTATTTGTATACCGCTGTTCTCAGCCCTTAGGCGACTCACAGCGGTTAACAACAAGAACAGCAAAAATTCAATGCTACAATAACATGGTACAAAAACAGTTAACATCATAACACATTATACAATAATATACAATTAACAACAATAGCCATTCACTAGCGTCTCATCACTAAAAACATGATCCAGATCCATCATCCATTGTTCCATTCCTATGTTCATTACACTCATTGCACTGACTATTCGAACGCCTGCTCAAACAACCAGGTTTTCACTTTTTTGCGGAATTATGAAATTACATATGTTAGAAACCAGCTCTTTCTCTTTTCTTTTTTTTCCATTTAACAAGACTGGGCCACAGCAGTCTTGTTAAATGGGGCTATATATATATAGCCTCTAGGACATCAGATCCAATGTGATACATTACTAATTACCTGCCTTTGGAGTCAACAGGCATCAAAATGTTTTTGTTCCTCCCCCCCCCCCCCCAAAAACAAAAATAACATTAGGAACAAGTCGGCTGGCAACCTTAGCTGATTCAGAGGAGAAACAACTGACACATTTCAGGAAAGAATACAAGAGTTTTTATTAGAACAAGCAAAATTCTCTATTTTTTCTATAACACAGAAGAATGACATTTCAAAACAAAACAAATGCCCACACCTGATGTCAGTGAAAAGAACAAGTCAAAACGCAGCATTATATGGCAATTCAGCCAAAGAAAAGGTGAGAACAAGGCAATGTTACAGCTACAGCTGAATGCTCCACAGATCCAAAACCTCTTTGCAGTTTGAAAAGCTGCCACTCAGTTCTTTGCCAAGAAATGAAAAACAGTAGGAACACTTGGCACAGACCTGCCTGTCCTGATGCCAAGCTTGTCAGACCGACACCGACAAAACACAGCCGGCAGGTGCACATCTTCTGAAACTGCCGAGGGGCCAGAAGTGCCAAGGTTGCAACTGGAAGATGGTCCTAGGAGCCTCCTCTTGGCAAGTAGGCCAAACAGACACGACATGCTGCGTGAAAACCACTTCACTCTATGGCTTTGCTCCCTTGACTACCAATGAAACAAATTTTGGTTGCATTTAGCATCTGGTTCCCAAACAGTGCTTCATTTTTTTTTATTTGCCAAGTTTTGAGGTGATCTGATTAATCACCTTGTGTCTTGAAAAACAGTGGCCCAAACCACAGTTCCTAATTCCAACCATTGAATCAATGACTGAATGGTAAGTCAACATTCATTGAATGAATGTGTCTATTCTAGTCAGAATTAAAATTGGAAGTGTTTCTGAAAATAAATACACAATGCTTTCAAATGTCAGTGTGGTACTGATTGCCATCTGTATCTTTGATGCAAGCTAGTTGGCACCAGTAGGCATTATTGGCATCAGATGGCACTGGTTCCTAGTTAGGGATGCCTAAGGGACTGAATCTTCATCAATTGCAACACAAATCCCAAAACAAATCCATACTTCCCACACTAATGAGTCAACCAAAATTTTGAGCAATTCAAATACAGTGCTTGATTTATTGATTGATTTACTATATTTGTATACTGCCTTTCTCAGCCTATCGGCGACTCGACTTTAACTCTTATGGAAATGTCTAGTTTGTGACAAAATTCGTAATAAATGTCATACTGCATTAAAATATAATGTGGGAACAATATGGAATGGAGCTATGGGTGACTGCAGGCATAAGTGGCACAGGCTGGAAAGAGTTGGATTGATCCATGTACTTTCCCATATGGTACTGAATAATCTCCCCTTTTTTTACATTGTCTTGCACAGTTCAGATCATCATTTGTACAATGTAAAGGTGTCAAATTTTGCTTATACATTATGATCCCCTTAACTACAGAAGCCATATTTGTGGTTTTATTGGGGGGGAGGGGAGGGTCTATCGTAGGTATATTTTTTGGTTGATGGCATTGAAGGAATTCTAATCGCGGCGTGCTAGGTACTTTTTTGTGAGCAGACTTAAATCCATTAGAGTCTTTACAAGTTGGGACGACAGAAGATATTAGTTTCTTGCTTCTACAGCATGATTGTGATGAAATCCTTGGGTTGCGTTGATGGTTAGATGCAGTAATTGTTGTGCGTTGGATTTTGTTTCAGGAGTACATTGTTTTCTTTTTTTATTAAATTTGTCCACTTATCTATAAAACAGGATCCGGTTCTTTACTGTATCCTAGTATGCTTTCTTGTCTTGTTGGGAGTAGATTCATAGATTTGCTTCAGAGGAGAAATGCACCTCTTTCTCCACTCGTATCATGGGTTTTCAGTACATATAAAAACTGCTGGATTTTGAAAAATTTGCACCTCACTTTTATCCAAATTAATGTCGCATGCAGGCTCAATCCGTGAGAGATGTATGGAAGTACATGAGAGTGATTGGCGACTACACTGCTGCCATCAACAATAACGTCAATAAATACTTATAATTTTAGTCTTTTAATATTATGTGACACTTGCCACTATTTTCACCTACCCATGCCCCTCATCCGCTACTTAGACCCGTTAGTTTTTATATGGAAATTAAACGAATTTTGCTAGTATCACTTTGTTTTAATTACGTTTTTAGCTGTTTGTTAGTTTCGTTTTTATCAATTATTTAGGAGTTGGGTTGAGATAGTGCCTTTCAGTAAGGCCAATTTGATGCCGTATTGTCATATATGGGTTTTACTGTATGTGTATGTTTTCTGTATGTGTGTGATTTTCCATGGTCTAAAATTTGACTTTATTATTGTCAATAAAGTAAATTGTATGTTGTATTTTTTGTACCTGTTTTTCCATGTTGTACACCGCCGTGAGTTGTGAAGTTACCCACTAAATGTAATATTACATAGTGTAGACTATAGAATCATAGAATCGAGAAGATGTGTCTGGATAGAGACCGGTGTCACAATGTGGAAATGATGTATACTCATTTCAAAAATCTGCTGCTGGGTGATATGTTGTCATATTTTTTTAAATAATCCCTGACAGATGGCCATTGCCAGAACTTTTCTGTTTGTAAAAGTGTCCGCTGAATGAGATTTCGTGGAGCCCTCTCTGACACCACAGCACTTGCATTCTGGTGCTCCGATTATTTTCACTGCTGAACGGCACTTAATCCACATGTCTAGGAAGTTCACCTTATGTTTCAGATGAGGTATATCTTCTTCTTCTTTCTGTTTATATTTTTGATAGCCCATCATAGCCTCCCTGAGATAATTTCCACAGTTTTCTATTTTTATTGAGATTCTCCTGGCATTTTTTTTTTGGTGTTTTTATTTTGTTTGTTTTTTTTTTCCATTTGTTTTTGTTTTTTTTTGGGTTGTTTTTTTTTGTTGTTGTTGTTCTGTCGGTTCTCTGGTATGTGACGGTAATTTCAATGATTATGTCGTGTCGATATTGTATGGTTTTCACATTTGGGACCGGATGTGAGGTAATTCAATGATATTCTGTCATATGTATGGTTTCACATTGCCTTGATCCAACTGAGAATGTATGTATCTCCTATGGACATTGGGTCTTACTGTATGCATGATTGGTGGTTACTTTCAAAGTAATTGTGGCTGTATACTTACACCTCTGTCTTGGAAAGCCAGTCACCACACCAGTCCAAAAGCACATGTACCCAGTATTTCTGCTACCCCGCTATTAAAAAAGGATTGTATAACTCAGACCTGAGGGTAAGAACCGTTACACTCTTAATTGGGAAGAAACTGGGTTGCAACCAATGGAGTTATTTATCACAGATGAATTAACACAGGATAAAACTGACATTCTAGTCTTAGTCATGCTCCTTGGAGTAAAGTCAGGGTAGAATTTAAAACAGCATGGAAAAAACCTGGAATACATCTGTCATAAACCTTGATAACCAATTTGTCAGTTTATCCAACTTTTAAGCTTAAACATACCTTTTCTCCTTTTTCTGCTCGGCCAAATCCTCCTCCACCACCACCCTAGGAGAAAATGCACCCAAAGTTAACAACAGCCATATAATGAGAATGTAAGGGCATGCTATTCCTGTCAACAGATATCTGAATTTATTCCAAAGGCAAATATCTTTAAAAAAAATTTAGAATGTATTTCAAATATAGATTGAGTGATGGAAAAGAAAGTGGTTTCAACCTGTGGGTCCCCAGGTGTTTTGGCCTACAACACCCAGAAATCCTTGCCATTTACCAGCTGTTAGGATTTCTGGGACTTGAAGGCCAAAACATCTGGGGACCCACAGGTTGAGAACCACTGGCCTAAGATGTTTTTGTAGCTCCCCAAAGTAGAAGCCTTCAAACACAAAAAAAATAATCAAGGCTGTCAGATTCAAGAGCAAATGCAGTCAGTCCACCAGTACCAAAAATGACTGTCACTGAATTTTGCAACTTTGCAGGTTTCTGGGAGATTCTCCATTTGTAAGTCATATTTCTTAAGTCCAAATATTTCTGGGTAGTAACATTGTCTTGCTTTTAAAATAGCAATCAAAATTCATGGCATGCACAGTTGACAAGTATCTGTTGAAAGGCCCTTGTTCTACCTATGGTAAATGAAATTATTGATTTTAGTTAACTTAGTCACATATGTCTGTAAAATTAACATGTCTACAAATTACATGATGCCTGCCTTTCTGTCCTCATAAAAGCCCAACACTCCCAAAATACAGTCCATTTTTGGAATCTTGTTCCCAAAGCTTACAATTATCTTCCTATAATAAGGGATATCTGCCAGCACTATAAGAAATGAGTTTTCTGGCTCTGAAAGAAAAAGTATATATTATAATAAGATACCACCTTGGTTGAGCTGTCTTAAAAACCACAACAAGCAGTTTATAACTATTCCCATCAACTCATATTAGGGCATAACTATTCAACCATATTACAACCAAGCTCAAGCCCCGAACTGTGGAGCTGCCTGGGCTGATCTCATTCCCATTTCAAGGCTCCTTAACATGAAAGATCAGTTGGGCAAGTCCCTCCTTTACTAGGGGACTCTATGGAAGCCCATCAATATGGTTTGGTTTCTCCCTTCAGTCTTTTACAAGCACTTCCTTAAAAGAGCCCATCTCAACTCCATTCAAGAATCAGTAGAAAATAGACCAAATGCCTATTTTTCTAGATTGGACCATATAAGAAAAGTGGAAAAGAATTCTTAATCTGCCTTTGGCCAACCTGCATTAGCTACAAAGGCAAGCCAAAGAATCACACATAGTGCTAAAAATGCTCTTTAGGGGCAGAGTCACCTCTTGTGTCTTATAGACTTATAGCTCTCTCTTGTGTCTTTATGTTGTGATATCTAAGTTAGTGTCATTTCTGGCCTCTGTCTTTTCTGGGAAAAGCAATTCTGTTGAATGGCTAATTATGGCACTAAGGTGACAAAAGAATAAATTCTCTGGGTTGTTGTAGGTTTTCCGGGCTATATGGCCATGTTCTAGAAGCATTTTCTCCTGATGTTTCACCTGCATCTATGGCAAGCATCCTCAGAGGTAGTGAGGTCTGTTGGAAGTAGGAAAAATGGGTTTATATATCCTACTTCCAACAGACCTCACTACCTCTGAGGATGCTTGCCATAGATGCAGGCAAAACGTCAGGAGAAAACGCCTCTAGAACGTGGCCATACAGCCCGGAAAACCTACAACAACCCAGTGATTACGGCCATGAAAGCCTTCAACAATACAATAAATTCTCTGTTTTACACATGAAATCCGAAATCAAACCAAATTATAAACTTATTATTTCTTTAAGCCTAAATGTCTATCATCTTGAGCATATGCTTATATTGTAATGAGAAGAAAAAGCATTCACGAGCCTTACCGGTTCTCCTTTTTCTCCCTTTGGGCCAGAAAGTCCAATTGATCCAACTTCTCCCTTGACAAAAGTAAAGGGATGTTAGCTTTGGATTACAAGATTCACTGATCTATAGATATGGTTATTGAAATCACTCTTTTTTATCTATTACAGGGATTAAGAGAACAAAAAGAGAAAGGAAGGGGGGAAACCATGCAGTCTAGTTTACAACAGAAATTGGTGTTTTCTGCCCATGCTTAGAGATCTTGACCAAAGATATCAAAATGAGCAGTTAGCTTACATGAATTGGATAAGTCCTGCATCCAGGTTTCCAGATGGCATGGAAGCCATTCATCATACAGTGAGTTCTAGTTTCCTTCTTGCAGTGATTTCTCATGTCATTCCACAAAAGTAACCTCATCAGTTGAACTGTCACTGATTAAAATGGGAAGCTTCTATTTTTAGGGTCAGAGAAACACAGAGAGTTGTCCTCTAACTCAAAATAGAAATGGGAACAAATGAGACAAAGGCTTTGCTCTATACCATTTTGAGTGACCAAAGAACATGGCTACCCAAGTGGGCCAGTTTTGTGAAATTACATCATATCTCATGCTTGAAATCCAAGTTGGTGAAGTAAATATTCAGGCACAGCTATGTGCAAATGGGCTTTTTATCCTATTAAAGGTCTAATAAATGGAAAAAGAGGATATTTTACCAAACAAATGGAGGAATTATTTTAATAGGGAGGAAATGAATATTCACTATCATTCCTTTCATGTAAGATAATGTGTTTTCTGATACTTAGAACTGCCTGGGGGAAAAAAGAGCAACAGCAAATATTCTTCATACTTTGTAAGGTTTTTTGAGATATTTTGCTGAACAAAGATATATGTCTTATACAGAACAATTTCCTTCAGAGGGTGAGATTCTACATCAGAATTCATGCAGCTCTGCAAGTAAGATTTATGTGTTACTAGTGTTATGCAGCTCTTGTTAAAACAACAGCACCAAATCTAAAATAGGATCCACAGCACAAAGAAATGAATGACAAAACCTTTATAACTTCATGAACAATGACACTGCCTCCATAACTCCACTTCTGTGACCTTGGACTGAATAGGAATGCAATGTATTGGACAAAAATGTCAAATAGTTTCCAAAGAGAAATTTATACTTGTACGCCACACCAACAGCATTCAAATCGAAGCATTTTGTGTAGAAAACCCTGAACAAAACAATAACAGCAAAAACTGAAAATGCTGTTGATTCGTCCCAATTACATAATGATTCACATTTTTAATGGTGAGTCAACACCAAGGTAAATCTAAGAGATTTATTGGGGGTGCTATTAGGCACACTTTTTCTATGCAGAAAAGTCATATGTATTTTGGGGCAGAATACTTTTCTCAAAGGTGTGAATTGCTCTTGAGAACAGTACAGAAATCCTCTTTTTCTCCTGCAACATGGAGAACAGTATGGTAAATACCCATTCTTGTATTCTTTTTCCTTTTTCTGTTTGTGGGGGTTTCCTACCAATATAAATGGAAGGGTTACCCAGCTATCATTTTGCATCCAAGGCCCCTCTTTTTATTGTTGCTCTGAGACCTAGGGATATAGGGACATGATTGCCGTATAAAGTTGTGGAAACTATTCAGAGGAAACTGTGTGAAGATTTCCATTTCTTTTATCCCCTTTTTGTTGATGAGAAAGAGAAAGATCTCAGAAATAATCTTGTTTTGACTTCTTTATTTTAAGGCAAGGGTGGATAAAGCGTGGCCCTGAATGTTTTGTGGTCCTTGAGATTCAGAGTTCACAGGCCAATCTTTTACTAGACAACAAAGAGACTGTTTGACTGCTTCTGGCAGTCTACAGCTTGCAACATATTTATGTTCTATTCCACATAAAAATACACATTTTTGAGAACCATTAAAGTTTCAACCATTCTTGTATTTTTATTTTTCATTAGACCACATAGTTGCTGGCGGTTTCAGGGCATAAACATGGCCCCTGGACCTACTGTAGTTACTCAACATTAGTTAATAACTTTAATGCAAAAGGTGGGCAAACCAGAATTGCATGTGTTCATAGAATCATAGAATCAAAGAGTTGGAAGAGACCTCATGGGCCATCCAGTCCAACCCCCTGCCAAGAAGCAGGAATATTGCATTTAAATCACCCCTGACAGATGTCCATCCAGCCTCTGTTTAAAAGCTTCCAAAGAAGGAGCCTCCACCACACTCCGGGGCAGAGAGTTCCACTGCTGAACGGCTCTCACAGTCAGGAAGTTCTTCCTCATGTTCAGCTGGAATCTCCTTTCTTGTAGTTTGAAGCCATTGTTCTGTCCTAGTCTCCAGGGAAGCAGAAAACAAGCTTGCTCCCTCCTCCCTGTGACTTCCTCTCATATTTATACATGGCTATCATATCTCCTCTCAGCCTTCTCTTCTTCAGGCTAAACATGCCCAGCTCCTTAAGCCGCTCCTCATAGGGCTTGTTCTCCAGACCCTTGATCATTTTAGTTGCCCTCCTCTGGACACTTTCCAGCTTGTTGATATCTCCCTTCAATTGGGATGCCCAGAATTGGACACAATATTCCAGGTGTGGTCTAAACAAAGCAGAATAGAGGGGTAGCATGACTTCCCTAGATCTAGACACTATGCTCCTATTGATGCAGGCCAAAATCCCATTGGCTTTTTTTTGCCACCACATCACATTGTTGGCTCATGTTTAACTTGTTGTCCACGAGGACTCCAAGATCTTTTTCACACGTACTGCTCTCGAGCCAGGCATTGTCCCCCATTTTGTATCTTTGTGTTTCGTTTTTCCTGCCAAAGTGGAGTATCTTGCATTTGTCACTGTTGAACTTCATTTTGTTAGTGATAATTTGTCTCACATGACACCATGTACATCCCATTGTTGGATTTTGTCCACTGTTGATTTTCTCCTGTTCGTGACTCTTAACAATTAAAACATGCAAATAACTTGCAACTCTGTAAGAAGGAATGGACACAGTTGAATTGTGATATGGCACAATTGTGCTAATGAAAAGAGCAGTGATGTTAAAGGTTCTCAATGCAGTATGTATACACTACCTACACTAACACTCCAGTGGAATAGCAGGCTGGTGTGATAAAGTCCTTTAAAATTTCATTGCTCTTTTTGTGGCTCACTTAATCCCCCAGAAACACATGTTGGGCAGAAATTAGGGCTTGACAATACAGGCTAAACATAGGTCTGGCAGGATGGCGATGTACTTCCAAGCTTGTGGCTCCTCCTATTCATGTGTGAAGGCATTTGCAGGAGGAAATATTACACATCCCAAAATTATTTCATGTATATTTAACTGCATTGAAGTATAGAGTGAGTACAATGAAAGCTTGCATGCATTAAAACACCCAAGGGTTACTGTTTTCAAACTGGAGAAGAGAAACAGAACCAGGTAGACACCGACATAATGAAGATAAATGTGTCTTTCTCTTCAAATTCCCATCCCAGCCACATTAGATCCCTATTAAATACAGTGCCCTATTTTTATGATGTTCAAAAGTGACCAGTAGTGTTCTGTTTTTCTTTTGTCTAGAGATTTTTTTAATTAAAGAAAATGAATGAGCTTTTCATTCAAGACAATACTAACCTTTTGGCCTCTCAGACCTTCAAAACCAGGCAAGCCTCTCTCACCCTGAAGTAAGAGAAAAGGTAATTTATCAATTACACTTCATATTGCTTCCAGCACATTAAAAACACTCTACCATATATCTCCTTAGGGATATCTCTCAGATTCAGGTTTTTTACATTAATATTCCATTCATCATCATTGCCTTTAAAACATCTCCAGATCATGACCCCACTTTGTGGTTGAGTGAAATAGGCAGGTAATTTCCATGTTCCTCTATCTTAGTCAGCAATTGCAATTAATGGTAAATAGGCTTAAGTTACTTTATATATATTTAGTGTTCACTGCTTCTTTCTTGTATGGCTGGTTCCACACAGGGGAAAAGTCAGGTCCAACACAGGTTTAAAAAACTGGGGTCAAGCTGGACTTCTGTCTCCACACTGATGGAAAACACACACTTTCCTAGGTGAAGGTGTCCACACAGCAACCCACTCCCCCCAAAAAAGGCTTAAAATCTGAAAATAACTTACCCAGTCATCATTACTCTGCTGCTGGCCCTCTCCTGTCCTGTAAAAATGATGCACCAGGAAAAGGGCACCAGGAGAAAAGTAGCCCCTGCCTCCCTTCTCCCGGTACACTATTTCTGTGGGCCAGGAGAGGACTGGCAGCAGAGTAATGGCAGCCAGCTAAGTAATTTTTAGTTTTTAAGGCTTGTAAAGGGGGGTTGGGGAGGGAGTAGGGGCTGTCTTGGGTTTTCCAGGCTCCAGGAACCTAGAAATACCAAGACAGCTGTATGGATTGGGTGCAGTAGTCATGCACCGCAATCCCTGGGCTCAATCCACACAAGACCCACAGCTTGAAAAACCTGGGTCTTCTGAAAGACCCATGTTTTTCCATTTGTCAAATTAATTTGGCCCAAAGCAGGGTTTTCCTACTTTTGGCTGAATTAATTGGCTTCTACTTGAAACATTTTGTGAGCTGCCTGGATGCGACCTATCCCTTCTTTTAATTTTATCCCCACAGTCATACTAGAATCTAATCTAGAATATTCTAGATATTTTGCACTACAACCCAAGACAGCAAAGCTAAGTGTCCATGCATTTTCAGAATTATGGGGAAAATATATGGAAAGCTTCCACATTGTTAACTTGTCTGGCTGAAAAAAACTGTCAGTCCTGTCACATTTGAGGAACTTGGACATGCCTAGATAGGACATAATTTGCTGGACATGGAGAAATGAAACCACAAATATTAGCCCTGAAAATAATTTTAATATTAAAACCATCATACTGATATTTCATCATCATCATCATCATCAATAATAATAATAATAATAATAATAATAATAATTTGTTGACTAAAGTTAACATTCATCTGCATTCCCCAATATATGTAATACTAAATACAGACCTTTTCTCCTGGGGGACAGGAACAGTTGACTGTCTTGGAAGGCCCAATCTGTTCACTACCAGTTGTAGGTGTGATTACAGGAAGTGGAGGCTCCGTAACTATGGTCACTTTGCACTGCGTACAGAATAAACTAGGATTAGTACGTATCAAGGAGGTAATCTTTACCATCATTTCTTTACATGCATTTTAATGAGCATAGAACTGGCATGTATTCACTATTTTTTGTATTAAAACTGAAATCTTCATCTCTGATGTTTCTCTGTTAATTAATGAATTCATCCATGTATTTTATATCCATATGGGATCAAAAGCAAATAACACTTTTCATTAACACAAAATAGCTAAAATAGTACATAGTATGAAAAATCATACAGCATTAAACAGTTTTTAAAAAATTAAACCTATTAATGTCTATTACATATCACGAATCAGTGCGCTCATTGCACTATCCCAACCTGTTAAAAGCTGAAGATCTACTTAAATATCAAGGTTTTTTCTTGCTGAAAAATATGGCAGAGCAGAGTTTTGGACTTCAGCTCCCACAATTCCTAATACCTGTTAAGATAGCTGGGATTTCTGGGAGCTGAAATCCAAAACACTTGGAGGGCCACAGTTTGAGAAATCCTGCAGTAGAGAATTGGGCAACTCAATGCAGAACAACTATCAAGAAGACTCTCTCTCTATCTTGTCTTTACTAGATGTTCCAGTGATAATAATGTGACCAAGAGAAAGCCCTCCCGTGAAGGTCATAAAACTTAGACAAAACTTCTCCATATACACATACACAGACATACATGCCCACATACATTTACTAAACATACAATGAAACTTACAGGCCCAGAAGGAATGTCACAGCATGTTTCCAGTTCAGCATGCCGTGAATCACAGTAGATAACCATCCGCTGAAGATCAAACTAAGAAAACATGGAACACATGGAAGTCACTCCCAAAGGCTGAAATCATTTTGTCTTCTTTTTTCTGTGCATCTGGCCTAAGGTCAACTGGATTATGTGTGACAGAGAACCAGTTCATATATTATGTTTATTCTAAAGATGGATTATCATTGCTTTGATAATTGCAAATTTATACACTCCCCAGATATGTTGGGACACTGAACACATGACGTGTTTAGAGAAAATGTGAGAGGAATGTGGAGGATTAGAACCAGAATGGGGGTATTAAACTAGACTATGCATGGAAGTTGGATATGCATATCTTGGAAAAGGAGCTGTAGAACAGGAAGAAGAAAATATGTTTGTTACCCACAAGCACACCACTTTTTTCAGATTCATGACAAAATTCTTCAAACAAACATGAAAAGGACACTTGTTAGCTTCCACTTGTTTACGTCTTTATTTTACACATTATATTTCTGGTTTGCTGCTTTGCCTGGATGGTTTCATATTCTTCAATTTGGTGAAGCAAACAAAATATATTAAAAGTCCTTTTCCTTTTACAAGAGACAAAATGGAAGATTTTTATGGGTCAAGCTATGCAGATATCACTCTACAAAATGAGTAGAATGCTGGGCTTCCTTTTAGATATAGTTACGGTGAGCATTGTTAACTTGGACCACAGCATGATCGAAAATGGAAAGTCAGAACCTCAGGTTTAACTGAAGTAATCAATTTGCTGTGCTGTGAGCAGTGTACAATAATGTTTCCCCCTCTATATGTCGAACTCTTTTCAAAGTCCTACACTCTTTTCATGAGTTCAGATAATAAGAGAGTAGACTGGTGACCAGAGAAGAATGGATGTTCTCCTGATGTTCAAAACTTTTTTTTGTGTGTGAGTAAAAGTATTTATAACATTGGTACCTACATCAATTGGCACACTATCGTAGAGGCGCTTCCCAATCACTGTCTTCCCTTGAATGTCAATATTTTCTCGGTCTTCAATAGGCAATGTCTGCACTAGTTTACAATCAATGTACAGGGAGACACTCTGGGACTGGATACTCAGAGCAATCTTATGCCAGTTACGGTCAAACAGGTCACTGACACGGCCATTTTTAAAGACCACTCTCACTGCATCCTTGGTGAGTCCAATAGCATTATACTCCAAGGCTTTATTTTCACCGTCCAGCCGGATAGACACCTTTAACAAAAGAGAGAAAGGAAGAGAGATAGAGAGAGATTTTAAATGCAAAATTGTTTACTCAAACTATCAATCTAATTGAAAACTGTATACTTTAAAAATGTTTTACTGGAAGATATGAATTAAAAGGCAAAAGATCCATCCATTCTGACATTCAATTTCTGTCAATAGCCTACCAGCTATTTTGAGTAGGGGATTCAAGATAGCAACAGACTTCTTCCATTGTTGATCCCTTACCACTAATATTCATCAGCTCACTGCTTCTGAACAAATCAAAGTTCCACATTTATTTACTTATTTATTTATTTACAGTATTTATATTCCATCCTTCTCATCCTGCAGGGGACTCAAGGTGTATATAATATACATGGCAAACATTCAATGCCATAGACACACAACATATATAGACAGACACACAGAGGCTATTTAACATTCCAGCTTTTTCATGAGGGTATTCTGGCCACCAGGGGAGCTGTCACTTCACCATCCATTTGTGACACTGATGAAATATTTCCTCATTCTTTGCATGTTTGCTGGAGATTTTTATGGCATCGTAAATTAGCCTCCCCACATAAGCGGTACCTTAATTTCCTACTTGACAGATGCAACGGTCTTTCAGGCTGCAAAGGTTGACAGCAAGCTACACAAATTGGTTGGAAGCTCACTCCGACCTGGGCTAGCTTCGAACTCATGACCTTTTGGTCAGTAGTGATCTTAATGCAGCTGACTCCCAGCCACCTGCACCACAGTCCTGGTGTGCCACATAATTATCATCTGTATCATCATACACCACACCTCATTTTACATTGGCCCACAGTACCTGTGAGAGAGCCAGCTATAGACTATAGCTGCTTCTGGGGAACAATTATGTTATCATCTAAGATAATCTTCAAATCAGACTCCAAAGGCTTCTCCAACCATTACTTGTGCCCACACATTAATTACAAAGTCTTAGTAATGTCACACAAACCTTCCTATCTTTTTCTATCCACCTCACTTTCTCTGGTGCCATATAAATAGGGTGCTTCATCAAGTGCACAATATGGCTGCCTTTTAGATAACAGAGCTTGGAAATTGAGTTTTAAAAGCAAATAACATTATTATGTACTGAAGCCAATTATAACTGGTTAGAGTTAGGATGGTGCCTGAAGGTTCGGATCTCAATCGTATTGATTAGTTCCAGCTAGATTAGATCCATTGAATCGACTATTCAGTGGCGAGTCAACATGTAGACAAGTTCTGCTGGTTCAAAAGGTTGACTCTATTTGGAATTACAAATCGGATTCAGGGCATTATAGTGATTGTTTTAAATGCATGTTTGCAAGTTTGGTCAACCTATACCTCACCTGCCCCGTTGACACACAACCCTTGTTTCAGAGACTGTTAGGGAGAATGGCGTATTGTTCAATGTTTTAAAAACTCTGAATTTCATTAAGCCACATGGAAAGGGCAATGAGAGGTTAACATAATAGTGCAATAAACTGAAACTCATTGTGCACAGCTGTTTCCTGAAGGCTATACAGAAAGGTCTACCTGAGGTATGCCATATTTGTCAATGATCTGCCAAATGTACCAGTCTTCTCGCCTGGAAGCCTTGCGGAATTTGAAAGTGGTCACAAAGGCATATTCATCAGGAAGGCCTTGTGGGAAAACGTCTCTGGAGGAGGGGGAGAAAAAGAAAAGAGAAGCATTTCAGCCGTGTGAATTTGGGGGACACCTTCAGGTGGCATAATGGAGCCATTGTTCTCCATGGTACATCCAGGGACCATTTTCTTCATTCTTTCACATGTTTTTAAATGGGCAATGAACCCACTTTTTAAAAATGTTTTGGAATGAGTAACTAATTTCAGCAAAAATGTCAACAAGAAAAGCATAATCAGAAAAAAAACAATGAGCAAGTGCAGAGTGCTTTAATGATTAGCAGCAAAGTTTTTCTATTTTAAACAGAAATTTTTTTAAGAGAGTTGTAAAATCCAAGACAGTCCCCTACTATCTGCAGTCTCATTTATTCATGTTTGATCACATATTTTCTAGGACCTCTAGTCTTACTTTATGGCATTCCTGGGCTGCATGCTCTTCAATTCAATAGGTTTTGCTTTAGCTGTGGTTTTGTGTATCTGTATCTAAGCAAAGTCTGGGAACTTACCCAGGGCATGAGAGGGTTCATGCTGGACAATAGTATCCATTTATACTGGAATTCAATTTTCAAAATACATTTGACAAAACTGAATAGACATTTTTCATCCTGCACATATAGTTTGCCAACCCATTGCTTGACTACAAAGTTGGAATAGAGATACTTTCATTGGACAGCAGAATTAGAAGAGGCACTCCAAGGACTGTCTAATTGGACTGTGGAAATTAGGTCATCAACATCTCTCCTCTCTTTCAGAAGGAAGTTAAAAACCTGGATAACTTCTTTCAGAAGGAAGTTTAAAACCTGGATATCCGCCAGCTTACCTTTGGGTAAGCTGGCGGATGGATAAAAGACAATGACGACCAGAGTAGGAAAGGACAATGACAATGCAGGATGGATTATGGATTTATGAATTGACGAACGTTGACCACAAGATGATTTTATTGCTGCTATTGTATTAATTTGATTGTTTTAATTAGTTATAACTGTTGTCGTTATATTGTATTTTGTATATTGTATTTTGTGAACTGTTGGGCATCAAATTGTGCCTTTTGTAAGCCACCCTGAGTCCCCCCTAGGGGGTTGAGAAGGGCGGGGTAGAAGCACTCCAAATAAATAAATAAATAAATAAATAATCTTCGCTCTAGGCAGGAAACCAGGCTAAAAATTCCCTAAGACAGGGCTTAAATTCTTGCAATGATGAAGAATGTACCACCTGCTGAGACAGTGTATTTTATTGTTGACCAGCAGTTTCTCAAGTAGTTAACTCTACTTGTTATTTTTTAAACATTCCATAGTTCCTTAAGTCCACTCCTCTCAGGAAGGAAAAAAACTTTTTATTTCTTAATGCTTATCAAGTGGACTTTTTTTTACAAATGCTGAAATGTAGAGTGCCCATTTTCAGGATTCCACCAAGACATCCATCCGCCAACTCAACAAAACCATCTTCTGGGTCCTCCATTCTATTGTTGTTATTTTCCTTATTTTTACCAGATTTCTTGAACAGACAATTAGCAATCCATACCAATTACTTATCATGATCTGCATTCACTGTGGGGTGGGAGGTGAGGGTCTATACTGTAGACTCATTTCAGCTTGACACAGCACTTTAGCTGTCATGGCTCGATGCCATGGAAACATAGGAGTTGTAGTATACTGAGGATCCAGCACTCATTGACAGCGAAGGCTGAAGACCTTGTAAAACTTCAACTTGAATTGAGTCATGGCAGTGAAAGTGATATCAAACTGCATTCATTCTGTAGTGCACCCTAGAATCATTCTACCAGAGAAGACTTTAAAACTCTTTAGAATTTTGTCCTACATAGTTCTATAACTCTGTCTCTCTGTCTCTGTCTATCTCTTTCTCTGTGTGTGTGTGAATAATGCTTTTTGCACTTGAACCTACGGTTGAAGAAGGTGACTATATAGGAGGGTACACGAAATGAAGACAGACTATTTAAAGTGAGGACTGGAAATAAATTAACAATATCCAGAAACAGCCAGAAGAGTAAATGCAGATAATGACAATGGAAGAGCAGGGGGAGAAAGTCAAAGACAAACCCCAAAATAAACAGTTCTAATTTGGAATAAAAGTTTATGTCTCTTCTTCCCTAAATTAGAGCTCTGTTTTAAATCTGGGAATAGCCTTTGCAGCCTTCTCTGTTTGGCAGCCACGAGCATCTAGGCTATGGTCCATCTAAACCCTGCTGTGCTCTAGTGACTTCCTTGAAGAATTCTTCTCCATTATTTTCTCCTTGATTTAAATCCCAATGCTTGCAAGCCAGACTTCTACACCTCCTGTCAGACAGCATCACAGCCTTGTTTCATGCCTTGCCTAGATCAATAACTGGGTGTTTAAAACATCCTTTTGGGCATCTTGCCATTGTAGTTTTAGTTGGCACCATGGAGTGGAAAACAATTCATTGAAAAAGGCAAATCCTGACAAATTGAGAAATTGTGGTGGCAGGAAAGTACTGATGATGATACTAAAGCACTAAAGCACTCTTGCTGCAGCTTGTTGTAAAAGAAGTTGACATGATTTTCTAGAGTAGTGGTTCTCAACCTGTGGGTCCCAAAGTGTTTTGGCCTACAACTCCCAGAAGTCCCAGCCAGTTTACCAGCTGTTAGGATTTCTGGAAGTTGAAGACCAAAACATCTGGGGACCCACAGGTTGGGAACCACTGTTCTAGATAGAGTTGTTGGGCTAATAGCTTCCAAGTTCCTGAGATTTGACCTGGGTGTTGTTTGGGAGTGTGGGGACAGAGAAGAGGCATGGGTCAGTTAGATTGTCAGACCAGTGGTTCTCAACCTGTGGGTCCCCAGGTGTTTTGGCCTACAACTCCCAGAAATCCTAGCCAGTTTACCAGCAGTTAGGATTTCTGGAAGCTGAAGTCCAAAACATCTGGGGACCCACAGGTTGAGAACCACTGTTCTAGACAATTTACAGTAGGCACTGCAAGGCATTATGCAGCAGGGTCAAAAGTGCATGGTTAATATGGACATATATGGACCTACACAACTTTTTAACCTGCAATTTCTCCATCTCACCCTGAAGATTGAAGAAGAGAGGTCAAGCCATGAAGATCGGGGCCAGGCCATGAGTTCTGGGGACCCTAATCCAGAATCAGGAGCTCAAACATAAATAGAATTTACAAAATCATATACCTTCCAAATGCCTTGATGCAGTAGTGGTTGTTCTGATGTAGTAGTGTACCTTTCTAGTTTTTCAGCAGATTTTAAAAGATCCCATTTTCTCTCTCCTACTATCCTCAGCTTACTTTCCTTGCTGGAAACTGAGATAAAACTACAAAATTAATTTCCACTCAATTCATTCAGTGAGAAGGGAGGATAGAAGGGGGGAAATATTCCTCTTCTCCATAGGCTCAAACAAAAGCAAACCACTAAAGCCTCATAACTTATATGTTCTAATCTGCTTACAATGGTTGTCATGTTGATCACACGCTGATGTTGGTCAACATAAAATCATTCTTGCCTGCTAAGAAGCACAAATGGGTATTATCTGCAATTGTAGAAGTCCAGGCTTGGCACAAATGAATGGCAGGGAAATTCGCAAGCCAAAAAAGGTTAAAAGGTGGTAATACTTACTCTGTCCTCTGCACAATGGGGAAGCTTCCAAGACGCACATAAGCACTATGGATCCCATTGTCTTTCATTCCAAATATCTCCCGCACCCGGAATTGTTCCATCAGGTCAAATCCTGTCACAAAGGAAAGAGATGAGAAAAATGGGGTAGGTGATAAAGAAGGACCTAAATGAGTGGTTGATATGATGCAATCCTCCAAACTTCAGTAGACTGCAAGTCCCAGTATTAAAAGAAACAGAGGATGCAGGGAGTTTTAATCCAAAACCTGGAGGGTTGCAGGATTCCCATGCTGGGTTAAAATTAGTTAAGAGAGTTGCTGCATCAGTGATGTTTATGTAAGGTCCATGGATTCATTAGTTCTACTTTGTTCATGGGAAGACTATGATTCAATCTTATTGTCAGCTATCATCAAGTTGACTTGGACTTATGGTGATCCTGTAGTTGAAGGACCTCCAAATTACCATAATATCAACAGTCCTGATCAGGTTTAGCAGACTCAGAGTCATGGATAACAATAATGTTGTCATGGATGATGGCAAATCATGAATTCAGGGCAGCTGTCATCTGAATCTGGGGATCTATCACCTCTCCACGTGTTGATATGATAATCCCGCATCTCTAGCCAGGCCTGTTGAAGTTGTAAAGAAGTAGAATCCAGCTAGACATGGGAAGTTCTACCCATCCACTAGCTTCACCTAAAGATCACTGACATGCAAAGATGTTCATGTTCAAAGTTTTCCTCCAAGACTATCATTTCATACTGAGCAAATCCCATGCTATTCAATACAATGAAAGGTGCTTTGAACATCTGTCAAACCTATAATTGCATTTATAGTGTAGGTCATGATGGTTGCCTTGCAGTTATTTCTTTGTTTCTTGGAGTTATTCTTTTTTACTCTTTGCCCCATTTTCAATAAAGAGTTATAATAAGGCATTTATTGCTGCCGAGTAGCCTATGATTTCATTCCATTAAAAGTCCAAGGATCAACTTTAATGGGATAATTTCTTGACATCTTGCCCTTGTTCACCAACTGCACTTGGGGAACAATGTTATTGCCAATCTATTATTAAGCACTTCTTTGAAAATTCCCTACTGGCCCTGCTTCAAAAGAACACTACGGCTTGTGTGTGAAACTGTAGGTTAAATATAACAGCAAGAAATAGTTGTTATTGACACAGAATATTATTTTCTCTATGCTGTTTCCTGAATAAAAGAAATGTTGATGTCTGTGTAAATAGAAAACTGGGATTTTCATTTTAAAAAATAGGTCCTGAACTATGAAGATTCCAAGTAGTTCCAGATTCTTCTCCTCATTTTTTTCTTGAAATTCTAAAGAATAGTTTGAATATTCTTTACATCCCAGTTGAAGGCCAACTAGCTCCATGCTGATACTTTTCCCTGTTACTAATTTTGCCTCACAGGATTAAATACATGCTGATAATTCTTTTTAATATTTTTTTCAGAAGCCAAATAAGTGTGTTCGCCTTAATTATTAGTAGAAACAATGCCCATATATTTTTATCTTTCAGTAGCCTGGTGACCTGATAGGTTCCTATCTTTATCTTCTGTTTGTGAGGACATTACAGGCAGTCCTCCAGATTCACAGGTATGATAATTCACAAATTTGATTAAGATTGTGTCTCTAGGAATCGCTTGATGCTTCAATATGACTCTATAGTCAACATCTAGTGAAACTGACCATGGAGTCCTATTGGAGAATCTACAGATTAGAGGTGTTATCTCAGGTTTAAAACATAAGAATTACTTTTATTCATGATTTTTCACTGTTGTGGTGGTTCTGTACCCCTAATCCCAGTAATGGCTTACTGTACTTTGCTTTCTGTCATCAACAGTAACTGCAGTATTCAGTATGTGGAAGCAATTTTGGTTTTTGGTTTCATTGGTCAGTCCGGAGCTCCCTCCTCTATCCCCCTATTTCAGAAAGATGCCAACCCTCTCTATATACACAGATTTCATGTATCAGTAACCAAGAGCCTGTATAAAGGAGACAACAGTAAGTGTAACAGTTGTGTGATGATTATATACGTCAATTACAAAACTGCACAACTAAATGTGAAATGAATAATTGCAATGCACAATGCATATGGACACAACTGGCATATACATATGTCATGCAAAATGTGGACCTCTGCCTCTTTAAGCAGAGGCTGGATGACCATCTACCAGGGGTACTTGGATTGTGTGTTCCTGCATGGCAGGGGGTTGGACTGGATGGCCCATTAGTCTCTTCCAATTCTAGGATTCTATGGTGCTATGAACTTTCATGTGCTAAACACAATAGATATCAGCATGTGCATGGCACACAAACACTGCACAATGTCACTGCATAGTCAGGCTTCAACTGTCTTTTGTACCAGGCAAAAATATTCAGCTGCTTCCACAAGGGAAAATGCACATGAGTAAGTCACTAACAGGACACCAGGCAACAGCTCCACTGACTGAATAGGAGCTCAGAATATGAAGGCTTATGAAAAAGTGAGGCCACTCACTTTCAGATGTATGCTTTTTCAGGAAATGCCCTATGCTGTGAAACCATGGATGATATGCACACACAGGCATTTTGTCTTAGGCTACAAACAATGTGTGCAAAAAAGAATAAAATTAATATTAATTTAAAGTGGCCAAAGAATAAGGAGAGAGCAGGAATGGGCTGGGCTAAAGCTCAGTTTTAAAAGGCCTCTTCTCTTTGAGGATCAACAGTCTAGTTGGCCCTCTTCACTCATTTAAGAAACACATGACAGTTAAAGTATGTTCTTTCTAACTCGGTAGTGAGTCACAGGCATCTGTGGAATCCAATGTCTTCCTTTGCCTACCACAGACCAACAGAGAGAGGCACTGACAAGCAATAACAGCATTTCTGTTTGTAATTATAGGTCATTCGGTTTTGCAGATTGCTCTAGTATGATTGGGTGCAAGATCCAGATTGTCCCACAAAAGCTATAAATAAGCAAAGTAGAGTCATTGTAGAGCATTTATTTCCTTGTTTGTCTGGTTAGTTGAAAAGAAAAACTGAGATTCCATACAAACTCTTATTTGGGCTTGTCCACACTAGTTAAAAAATCCCCCAAAATCCTGTACGCACCCCAAACCCACCACTGGCAGTCTGTATGACACACAGCAACTTCTGGTGAATACCAAGAGGGTTTTTTTTTTTTGCACTACTGACTTTTTTTTTCCCTAATGTTATGAAGGCTCTGCTTGTGCATCATGATATTTATGCATCTATAATAAAGCAGTAATCAAAGGAATTTGTGAGAGCATGAAGATTCAATTTCCTTCCACTTCAATTTCAGTATTTTTTCCTTTGTATGGTAAACAGCAAAAAGGAAGGTCACTCCTTACTTCCAAAAATATTACATGTTTCTTTTCTCTGCTACGTTGCTCTCATCCTCAGAATTATACCTTTTATCCACAGGTATGTCTTTTGAGACTAAATAAAAGCCAAATTTAGGATTATTATCTTCTCACTGAGCTCTCTCTGCCAAAAATGTGTTTTCCCTAAATCCCACTGGCTGGTGATGCCCCTTTCTTCCTCTCAAATAAAATTCCTCAATTCTTTTTCAGAGAGAAGACTCTTCAATAACTTTCCATTTTCATTTTGGGAATGAAATATCGACTGAGTTTGGCACACACGTGATAGGAGCAATTGCACTCAATAAGTCCTCATCAGGTATCTTACCACAATTGCAAAACTAGTAAGATTGTGTTCTTATGAGCTTGACACTTTCTGCACCTGATGAACCAGATATTGCCTACTTTATACAATTATCGCAGTTTAAAATTAGGAGAGAAAGGGATAGGAGAGAAAGATTTCTCACTTAATTTTGCAGAAATATTTCTCCAAACAAACAAAAATACACCAGATCTCCCTCCTTGTTATGTATGAAATAATCTATCAAAAATGATATCACTGGGGTTCTGCTCTTAGTTTGAAATAGCTAGCTACTCTTAAATAACTACTGTAAGGATGCATTTCCCTCTAGGTTTTTTTTCTCCATGAAACAATGACTTTTTAATCTGTAATCGATGGTATTTATCACTTAGTATAATCCCTGTTATAAAGAAGATAGCTGATTTAGTTAAGGACATCTCAAATCACAACAGCATCTGGTTCCAAACAGCAGCCCATTATTACCTGGAATATCATCCGTTTCTCCATTGGTGTGTTTGAACCTGTCTCCTTCTACATGGACACTGGGACATAGCACATCTAAAAAAGAGAAAAAGTATGTATCAGTTTACAATCAAGTAAAAAAATTTAGTTGTAAATTGCAAGCATTCAGAAACTGGTTGAATGTTTTTCGCTAACAAAAACTGACCAAGGTTAAAACAAAAGGTTAAATTCAGTTGATTACAATAAAAAAGATCCATCTAGTCCAGTTGTCTGTTCACACATTGACCAACCACTTCCTATAATTCCACAAGCAGGACATAAGAGTATCAATATCATCTTGTTCCTATTTCTTGTCAGCTGATTTAGAAAGACATCATACCAATTAAGCCAGTCTTCCATGAATTTATCTAATCCTTCTCTAAATCTGTTCAAAGTGACTGCTGCATAATACTTATTCCTTTTATTTCCTTGGATAAAGCTCAAAATCTTAAGGATGAATTATTGTTAGGTCACAATCTTGAAAGATAAGTAGAACACCCCAGATTCAGAAGGGAAGATGTCAGAAAGTGAACATAAAGGTTTCTGATCTGAAAGCGATGGCATTTGCCACTTAGTTCAATCAATGCTATACATTGTTGTTGGTGGTTGTGTTTTGTGCCTTCAATTCATTTTTTTTCCTTGTGGCAACCCTAAGGCAAATCTTTCATTGAGTTTTCTTGGCCACATTTTTTCTGAGGGAGTTGCCATTTCCTTACTCTGCTGCTAAGATTTATGATTTGCCCAAGGTCTCATCCTCATCAAAGTGATTCCATGGTCAAGATGTGATTAAAGATCTAGTATTCTGGAGTCTTAGACCCCTTCCACACAGCTGTATAAAATCCACACTGAACTGGATTATATGGCAGTGTGGACTTAGATTATCCAGTTCAAAGCAGATATTGTGGATACCTTGATACTCTGGGTTATATGGCTGTGTGGAAGGGCCCAGATTCCAATACTTCAACTCCCACTACACCATGTTGGTTCTACTCTATATATGAACAACTTTCAGTGATATCTGTTTAGCTATTAACTTCAGCAAAATGTTGAAAACAAGTTTGTGGATGACATCATATTAGGGAGATAAAACCCCAGAGGATATCACAATTCAAAATCATCTTAATAGATTAAGAGCTAGGCCTATAATAACAAACTTAAGTTCCACAAAGAGACATGTAAGTTAATAAATACACCTGGGCAGAAAACAATGAAATGCACAGGTATACCTGGCTAGTCAACAGTACCTGGGTTTCTGTAATTGTCTTTCTTTTATATTTTCAATATAAACTCCAGCTTTGAAATATATATCTTAGAGTAAAAACCTTGCAAAATAACAATGAACAGAGAGTTTCAGCTCAGCATTTACAGTACATTATCAAAATCTTCTCATACGCCCTCCACAATCTTTATCACAGCTAATAATGGAAACTATAAGGGTTTTTTATGGTTTCCCTCTTTCTTTGCAAAAAGCTTTTGTTGAGCAGATACACTCCAAGCAATAAAATCATATCACCAAGACAGATTCCTACAGCAAAGGTCACTGACTGTGGATATCCATACATCCAGAAAGCCATTAGAAAGTGGGCCAAGTGGATGTTTGGAAGCAGATGTTGATAAATCACTTCTATTATGAGAACAGCTCAAGGCAGTTCATTAGCATATGGCAGGCTTGTCACCAAATTACATCCAGTTATCGTGAGTGGTTGAATTCAGCTCCAGGCTACATAACAAAACAGTCTTGCAACAAATTTCCTCAAATGGGAGAAAGAAATTGTACTTGTGCCAAGTTTGTCAATAAATATCACAAAAGCTGAAATATTTATAATCATATTTGCTTGGTAAGTTATTATATTCACCTATTTTTCTTTGTAGCAGGGATGTGTAGCCTTTTCCACCTCAAGGGCTAGCACTTTTATTATTATGGAAGAGGAGTGTGTGTATACATGCATGTGCACACATGTATACATGTATCATGTATGCCTTATCCCACCCACAACCTTAGTGCTCTTCCACTCCCCAGCAATTTGCTCTGAAATCTCTTATTTCTCAACACTAGAAGTTTTCAAAGAAGTAATTTTCGAAGGTAACAACGGGAAGGAATCAACAGTACTAAGATAAATCCGTATCCCATCCTGCTGGACATAGCTGACCTTGATCAGCTGAAGGATTGCTGGACCTTTTCCAGCAATAGCCTTGTGCATGGTGGCTTAGGATGAAGGGTACCTACTGATAAGAAATCGACAAAGGAAGAGTACAAGGTGGAGGATGTGGACCATGATGTGAATTTGCCTGGTTTTCTTTTAACCAATTGAGCCTGACAATGATTGAGTGATGCTCCAAAAGGGTGGCACAGTACTGTAAAACTATAAAAGCAATGCACTGTCACTGATCGGAGCTCCTCCATTTTGGTGGCACCACTGGTGCTCTAATTCTCTGTAACTTTTTTTCTTACCTCTTTTTACTTGTTGTCAAAATAAAACTTTCTTTCTGAGAGCAAAAGACACTTGGTTACTTTGCTGGGTGTGTTTCTAAATTGGCACCTTTTAAGAGACTGGGGTGACAACACTGGGGTGACAAGTATAACTTATAAAACATTTTAGCCTGCAGACCCATGGATATCAATGTGGAATAAAAGGAGGGAAGGCAGGGAATCTAAAATTGTTTAAAAATGTTTTAGCATGTGCTCTCATGGGTATCAATCTACTTTTTTCATGTGCAATACAAAGTGAATAGTTGCTTATCATCCAATGTGGCATATCTTATCGTATGCCAATGATGCACACCTATGACATGGAATAATGATAGCACCAACTGTTTGGCTACATATTGAGAAAGGATAATTGCATGCTCCTTCAGAATAATCAGATAAAACTTTATAAAACAGACTTCAGGTATGTGAAAAAAGAAAGTCCGATTAGATCCCACTTTGAGAAAAATGTGGGATAAACTCAATCCATCAGTCAAAGGAGGGATGGCTTGTGAGAAATGTTGTTTCAGCACACACACAAACTAGTGCAAATTTAGCATAGGTAAAATAGATAAGGCTGGGTCTTCTTGTGTGCTCTCTCTTGATGAATCACAGGTGTCTTCTTAACTTATTCCTAAATGGTCTTTGAATGTCTAAATAAGATCACTCTTAGAGCTTCCATATATTTTATAGAATTGTTTACAACTATTTCATTTGGTGAAAGGCAATTGGTGGATGGGATCTATCACCCAAGCAGACATCATATTTACAGGATGACTCACTGACCACAGGAGGAAGCCACAGAATGGAGGCTAAGAATCTATCACAGGAAATATCATATGATCTCCCAAAGTGAACATCAGCTCAACCCATTACTGATAGGTTCTTCCCTATTCACAACTTTCCAATTTTAGTTTCCTTCCAATATTTTTTCATCATTCTACATCCACATATCTAATTGTGTTGGTACCCTGTTGTGACCTCAGCAGACATAATGGCAAGGCTCTCATAAGGAACTTCATGGGTGGAAACAAGTAGCATCAGTGACAAGAGGACAAAGGGATGGCTGAAGGGATAGAATCACAGAATAATGAAGTTGGAAGAGACCACGTGGGCCACCTAGTCCAACTCCCTTCCATACAGGGAAAGCACAATCAAAGTATCCTTGACAAATAGCCATCCAACCTCTGTTTAAAAGTAGAGTCAATACAGTGTTGGCCCAGCTGGACCTTCTAGACCAGTGGTTCTCAACCTGTGGGTCCCAGATGTTTTGCCCTTTAACTCCCAGAAATTCTAACAGCTGGTAAACTGGCTGGGATTTCTGGGAGTTGTAGGCCAAAACATCTGGGGACTCGCAGATTGAGAACTGCTGTTCTAGACACTGACACATTACCATGAACGATTGAGATCAGTGTGTGCGGACACCATCACAGTCGATCCAAGACCAGTCTAAAACTTAAGTGGGCAGTGAAGATACATATCTCCCTGCAATGCTAGGAATTTGCAGACTGAATGAAATTTTCACTGAAAAGGTAGAATTTTAGTATCTTTTCTTTGTCCTTTCTCCTATCAATGGATCCACGGCATCTTACATATTTTAAAATGAAAATTAAGCCAAACATGTACTTTTCTAGAAATAAAAAGTAAATATTTCTGTTAAAACCACATGTTTACATATACATTTTAAAATATAATTGAAAATATACCATGAAAAAAGACAAACCCTTTCAACACTGTTCTGCCATTTGACAACCCACTGGTAAACAAAGAGCAGCCAGAGAACAATCTGAACCTCCACTTGGAGATCATTTAATAGTCCAGGAGCAACCAGTGAGAAATTTGTTTTTATCTTCACCAATTATGCCTGTGAGCTGATGTCCAAAGGGTATTTAAAGGCCAAACGTTATTTTTGCTTGGTGATACAGTAGGAGCAAAGGTATAACTCATCAAAGTCTCCTGGGGGAGTAAATGTGACCTCTGAACCTTCTGCAATTGGCGACCCCTGATGTAAAGAAATGGACAGATTTGGCTAGGCCTAGTCTTACAGATGTTCTTGTTCTTCCATGATGTTTTACACTGGGTAACTTTTTGTAAAAGGGAGGGATTTAGTGCAAAAATATGAATCCTATTCTGTATGACATGCAATATTTTTGTGCATTTCGCATAAATGAGAATGGGACTAAAACAGGTGAATTTGTTTATGGTGAAAATGTAATATGAACCAAAGACACCCCGCCCACACACACTGTACTTTCTGTAACAACATGACTGTAGACCATACTGAAATGAGAATAGTGAGCAATGACATTTGAGAAGTTAAGGAAAATCTCTATCCCAATGGAATTTGCCTAATTCTGGTTGCACAGAAACCTAAATTAGTAACATGTATCTTACAGTAGAACTTTTTATTAGAGTTGCATACTACATTACAAGTCCAGTTTCCAACTATGTCATGTTTTAATGGGAATACAAATAGGTCACAATTGCCCCACCTAAAAATGACACTCAAGACAGTTATGACTTAGCTTTAAATAAAACTATTTTGAAATGAGATGATTTTCCCCATCTAAACTGTTAATGACAAGAGAAA